ATTTTAGAAACAATTCACACAGACATGTGTGGTCCTTTTCCTGCGAAGAGCGTGGATGGTTATGATTCATTTATAATATTCACAGATGATTATTCTCATTATGGCTATATTTATCCAATTAAGGAAAGATCAGAAGCATTGAATAAATTTAAGATATTTAAGGCCGAAGTAGAAAATCAGCATAATATAAAGATTAAGATAGTAAGATCTGACCGTGGGGGGGAGTACTATGGTCGACACACCCCATATGGCTAAGTTCCTGGACCTTTTGCAAGGTTCTTACAGAAAAATAGCATAGTTACCCAGTACTCTACACCGGGCGAGTCTCAGCAGAATAGAGTAGCTGAAAGACGCAACCATACCTTAATTGATATGGTGAGAAGTATGATAAGTTACTCTACTCTATCGATAAGTTTATGGATGGAGGCGTTAAAAACCGCCATTCATATTCTTAATCGAGTGCCAAGCAAGTCGGTGTCCAAAACACCATATAAGTTGTGGACAGAAAATGAATCCTCACTTAACTATTTACGTGTGTGGGGTTGTCCAGCTGAGGCTAAAGTCTTTGACCAAAACATAGGGAAGCTAGACTCCAAGACAGCCAGTTGCCATTTCATTGGCTATCCAGAAAAGTCAAAAGGTTATCGCTTCTATTGTCCTGACAGATATACGAAGTTTGTAGAAACAAGACATGTTGTGTTCTTGGATGATGATATGGTCAGGGGGAGCATGGTAGCGTGAGAAATTAAGTTTGAAGATAAGCGGATATACGTGGCCACTCCGATGGTTCAGGAGCCATTCTTTACGCTACCTGTTGTTACTGTACCAACAGTGCAAGACACTGTAGTAACAGCACTTGTTGTTAGTTCTCCTATGGTAACAATGAATGAACATGAGAAACTTGTCGTTCAGGATCCTATAGAACCCGTTGTCACACATGAGGAAGAGCAACAATAGCCTCATATAGAACAAGCGTCAACTAACGAGGCCCCTAGAAGGTCTCAAAGAGTCAGAAAACCAGCCATTTCGGATGACTATAAAGTCTATGAATGTGAAGAATTTTAAATAGAGGGTGATCCCACCTCATTTGAATAAGCCATGAGAAGCGCTCACTCATCAAAGTGGCTTGAAGCCATGCAAGATGAAATGAGATCAATGAATACCAACGGTGTTTGGGACTTAGAAACAATTCCTAAAGGAGCTAAAACAATAGGCTGTAAATGAATCTACAAAACTAAATATGACTCCAAAGTGAATGTAGAAAGATTTAAAGCGCGACTTGTGGCGAAAGGCTTCACGCAAAGAGAAGGCATAGATTACAATGAGATATTTTCTCCAGTCTCATATAAGAATTCTTTTAGAATAATAATGGCGCTTGTAGCTCTTTACGATTTATAATTATATCAGATGGATGTAAAGACGGTGTTCCTAAATGGGGATTTGGAGGAAAATATTTACATGGCACAACCAAAAGGTTTTATTGTGGAAGGAAAAGAACATATGGGATGCCGCCTGAAGAAATCCATTTATGGATTAAAACAAGCATCAAGACAGTGGTATTTAAAGTTTGATATTACAATAAGAAAGTTTGGGTTTCAAGCAAATTTAGAGGACAATTGCGTTTATACAAAGTTCAAGAATAGGAAATATATTTTCCTAATCTTGTATGTGGATGACATCTTACTCGCTAGTAGTGATGTTAATCTACTACTAGAAACAAATAAGTTTTTGTCCTCAGATTTTGATATAAAGGATCTCGATGAAGCTTCGTTTGTTCTAGGAATAGAGATTTACCGAGATAGAAGAAAGGGGGTTTTAGAATTATCACAAAATGCATACTTAGAAAAAGTTCTAAAGAAATACAGTATGCAAAATTGTAAGCATTCACCTACTCCTATAGTCAAGGACGATAGATTTGAGGAATTCCAATATCCTAGGAACCAATATGAGATCGATCAAATAAAAGCGGTTCCATATGCTTCAGCTGTCGAAAGTTTACAGTATGCTCAAGTGTGTACACGCCCTGACTTAGCGTTTGTTACCGGGTTACTTGGCAGATATTAGAGTAATCTAGGAATAGAACACTAGAGACTGGTAAAGAAAGTTTTGTGTTACTTGCAAGGCACAAAAGTCCTCATGCTAACGTACAGAAGATCTGATTCCCTACACATAGAGGGGTATACAGATTCAGATTATGCGGGAGATGATAGAAAGTCCACGTTAGAATATATATTTACTCTCGTAGGAGGAGCTATATCGTAGAAAAGTTCAAAACAAACCGTCACTACATCGTCTACGATGTATGCTGAGTTTGTAGCATGTTATGAGGCCACAGGACAGGTGAATTGGCTAAAGAAGTTCATGCCCAGTTGAAAGTGGTAGATGACATACATAAGCCACTCAAGTTATACTGCAATAATAATCCAGCAATATGTTATGCTCACAACAATAAAGTGATACTGCCAAACACATTGATATAAAGTATTATGTTGTGAAAGACAAAGTCTGAGATCATATAATTAGTCTTGAGCACATAAGTATAGAAAAGATGCTCTCGGATCCGCTTACAAAAGGCTTACCACCCAATGTGTTCAGAGAACACTTAGCCGGCATGGGTTTAAGGGAAAGCCTATGATTCCTGGACAATAAGGGCCTAGATAAGAATCTATTTCAAAATAGAGAGGTGCATTGTTGTTGTTAATCTAATGGCACTGACTGTGATGATGAGGCACGCTCTATGCACTGAGCTGTGATGGAATGGAAAAAAGATAAAGTTAAGTTTAAGTCACAAAGTGAGATCAAGGGGGAGAATGTTAGGTTGATCTCCACCAAGTTGGCCCTAACGGATAATTTGGGCCTGTGATCCGTGCCCTGATCGGGGGCGCCCAACCCAATCATGGTTAGTGGGCTCCCGTCGCGTAGCGCTATAAAGAGGAAGGTGGGGACCGGGGCGCAAGGTACGAGGTTCACTGCCGCCGCCACAATCCCCACCTACAAACCATAAGCCGATCTAGAGGGGGCGCTGAAAGCGACGGGAAGCACCGCCACCGTCTTCACCGCCGCCTCTGCGCCACGCCCGACGTCCACACCGCCGCCGGACCCAACTGCCTCACCTTCGCCGGTACTCTGTGTCATCGCCACCGCCATGGCTTCCTCCTCCGCCAAGCCCACCGACGGTTTGCTACCTCTGCACCTCTCTCTTTAGCTCCTCGTTCTAGTTTATGTTCTACGATTACTTTATCCCGAATAGAATTGGTTCGACCCGCTAAATTTATGACCAGTTGATCCTGCTATTCTATCAGAGCGGTTGTGTTCTTTGCTTGTATATGCGCGTGGCGCATACACCTGGAGATGTGGACGACGGAACAGCGTACTCCTCAGTGATGATGAGAGCGACGCTAGCGACACTACTCCCGTTTTGCAGCAGCTAGCTACTACCTTGTTTGATAATTGAGTACGTACACAAGAACCCATGGCCGGAAACATCCACATGAAGCGGGACATTGATTTCCAGAACGAACAACAAAAAAAAAGAGCACTCATCATTCGTAAACGTAGGTGGTTACCACATCAATTTGCTCTTGCATGTTTCGTGCAATGCATTACGCGTGCTATGTAGCTTCTTCACATGACATGACTGACCGTGCATTCATCTGTTCTCCATGCCAGGGGGCAAAAGAAGAAGAAGAAGAAATACGTAGGACACATAGCCGTGCATACCCACTGTTGTGTCACGATGGTAGTAACAGCGAGTCCCCAATCGCATGGCCATCGTACGCAACGGCAACCCGTGATGGCCGAGCCGATCGGACGGCTTGCAGGGCTCCACGTACGCCGGCCACCGGCCAGCGTGCTTGTTTGCTCGTCATCATATAGAAAGCGCCGGCCAGCACACGGCTGATACGATGATCCAGCCGCCATCGGGCCCGCGGGACAGCGACCAGCAGGATCGACGATCGAGCTCATCACGAGACGAGATACCCTAATGATTTGTGCCTTTGGATGTCGACAACTTGCATGCCAATGCCACTGCTATGCGTGCTCGATCACAGTGGCATCAGTTGGTGCGACGTGCGACCAAGCGTCACTACCAACTAGTGGCGGCCACCTTTTCTTCTTCTTCTTCTAGTAGTATTCTTGTAGCACAGTGTTAGGATTAGTGCTCCTCGCGGACGTGTACTAGTAATGCCGGCGCCGGCGCCGGCCTCCCCTTGACGACTTCCGGTTGGTGGCCACGCCATGGATGTCAAAGCAAGGTGCAGCCGTGGAGCACTAGCGCACTAGCAGAGCCGAGAAGGAGAAGAAGATGCTTTCCTTTGCCTTGCGATCGTCTTTGCCCAATGCAAGCACAGGATCGCACACCAGCGCAAGTTATCCTTTCCTTTGTGACGTGCGATCCTTGTGACGTCATCACAGGAAGAATACAACGGTTCTGTTCGTTTCTTTTATAATTCGTATTTTTCAATTTATTTTTTCAGTCAGAACAGTGTTTGTCTCTCACCACAAATTAGCCGAAACAGCAATTAGACTTGTTTTTTCAGCGAAGCAAACGGCCAACAACGGGGCCAACCAGAGAAAGACATCCTTTTTGCTCTCTCGGAGTCAGAGAATAATCTTCTGGTCCGTGATCTGAGACCGTGGCCTGGAATTATTTTCATGCTCGGCAAAAAGGTCTATCTATCTATCAACAAAAAGGTGGATGGGGGAGGGGAAAGCTGGCGTTTTGATCCAGCTGCAGTTCAGTTCGAGGAGGACGACAATGGCTGAGCTGAGCTGAACGAACGAACGAATCATGTGATTTCTGAATTATTATCGAGAGAAAATGTATGTAATGTAACAAATGGAGGCTGCCTTTGATGATGATCTGGACTCTGCAGTCCATTGCTGCTACTAAAATTCTATGTACCCATCAATACATACATATGGTGTTTCTTCTTTTCGCGTTCGAGATCGGCAAGGATTCAGAAGACAAACTCTAGCTACCTACCTACGGCCACCGGTCACCTGGCGTCGCCGGCGGTGCTGCTGAACCCGATGTCATGGCCGCCCCTGCGCAGCGTGCTGGTGAGCGAGGACGAGCTGAGCGAGTCGGCGGACGACGAGTCGTCCGACAGGCCGGCGAGCCCCAGCAAGGCGTTGTAGTCCGACACGCTGTCCTGCAGGCTGAGCAGCAGCTGCTGGTTGTTGGCGCTGCCGCCGAGGCTCATGGACGGCCTGGCGGCCGGAACGAACGGCGGGTCCGCCTCGCCGCCCAGCACCTGCACCACGCCGCGCATCCCGGGCCGCAGCGCGGGCTCCGGGCTGGAGCACGCCAGCCCCACCAGCAGCGCGCGCCGCGCCTCGTTCTCGTCGAACTCCCCACCCAGCCGCGGGTCCATGGCGTCCAGCAGCCGCGCATCCCCGTGCAGGCTCCACACCCACTCCACCAGGTTGTTGCAGCACCTGCCGCCGCCGTCGGTCGTCGTCCCGATCGGCCGCCGCCCGCACGCCACCTCCAGCGCCAGCGCGCCGAAGCTGAACACGTCGGTGGCCTCGGTGGCGCGACCCGTCAGGAGGTACTCGGGTGCCAGGTACCCCATCGTGCCGGCGGCCGCCGTCGCGTCGGGGGACTCGCCGTGCTCTGCCTGCCGCGCCAGACCGAAGTCGCCCAGCCGCGCGCGGTAGGCTTCGTCCAGCATCACGTTGCTGGACTTGACGTCGCGGTGGATCACGCGCCGCTCGCACTCGTGGTGGAGGTACGCCAGCGCCGACGCCACGCCCATCAGGATCTCGCGCCGGTGGTGCCACGGCAGCACCGGGGCGGAGCCGTCGAACAGCGCCTTGTCCAGGCTGCCGTTGCGCATGTAGTCGTAGACAAGCAGGATCTCCCCCTTCTCGTAGCACCACCCCTGCAGGCGGAGCAGGTTCCGGTGGCGGAGCCCCGCGATGATGGACAGCTCCGACAGGAACTCCGACCGCGCCTGCTGGTCCCCGCTCGCGTTCCCGCCGCCGCGCGCGTTCGTGCACCGCTTCACGGCGACCATGGCGCCCGTGTCGGGGACGATGGCCTTGTACACGGTGCCGAACGCGCCGTTGCCGATGACGCGGGACGCGTCGAAGCCCCGCGTGGCGGCGCTCAGCTCCTTGTAGCTGAACTCCCGCGGGGACCGCGCCAGCGCCGCCGCCGACGCGACGCTGCTGTCGCGCTTGGTGCCCACCGCCACCGCGGTCTGGCTGCGCTTCCTGGCCCTGGCGCGGCGCGCCAGCGCCCAGAGCGCCACGCCCGCGAAGGACGCGGCCACGAAGGCGCCCGCCGTGGCGGCGCCGGCCAGGACCGCGTGCCCGGGCGTCCGCGGCGTCCCCGAGCCGCCGGCATTCCTCCCCGCCGCGGCGGAGCCCGATGGGGCGATCGACACGGCCGGCGCGGCGGCACCCGTCGTGGCAGCTGGCGGCGTCGGCGTCACTCCCGGGAGCAGCGGCGACGGGAGCACCGGGTTGGAGACGGGAGGCGGGAGCACCGGTGTGGAGTCGGGCGGCGGCGCGGCGGAACGCGGTGACGGCGCCGGCGAGGCGGTGGAGAAGCTCCACCACTCGATGGCGTGCGCCTCCGTGCTCCCCTGCGTGGAGGCGGAGAATCCGACGAACGCGGCGTCCTTGACGTGCTCCCCGAGGTCGAGCGGCGCGGACAGGACTGGCCTGGGCGGGCGCTTGGGCGCGTACGACACAAACACCTCCAAGAGGCCGCCGCCTTTCCCGTCGCCGGGCCGGTAGTCGATCCAGGCGTTGACGGTCCGCCCGCTGGCGAGGTCGACGCCGCCGCCGGCGTCGTCGTCGGCCCCGAGGTCTGCTGCGGCTGCCGAGACCATGGAGCCGAGATCCAGGCCGACGTGGTTCCCGTTGGGGTCGCCGAACTGGACGTCCATGAGCGTGTCGAACTCGACCGCCGCGGCGTCGGTGGCGACGGACACGCCGATGTAGGCGCCCGCGTCGCCGAGCGCGGCCCCGTCGGTGGCGACCACGAACGCCAGCCCACCGCCGACCGAGGACGGGTTCAGCGTGGCCACCGTGAAGGCGAACTGCGTCGAGAACCCGCCCCGGAGCGGCACCGCAGTCGCGTAGAGCGCCCGTCCGGCGCCCGAGGTCGGGACCGGCAGGTCACGGGAGAGGCGGATGGTGCCGTTCTTGAGGTGCGCGTCGCCTAGCAGCCTCAGGCTGCCGAGCGTCAGCGAGGCGTAGTCGAAGCGCACCGCGGCGGCGGGGGTGGGACCGTGGTCAGCGAGGAGGAGCAGGAGGAGGAGGGGGAGGGTGAGGAGGAGCCGGGGCGCGGCGGCTCGGGACATGGCGGCGGACGCGAGCGCCGGCATTGATGACTGCGCGCATCAGGCGCGGAGCGCGGGTGCTGCTTCCCGGCCCGTGAAGCGATCCGTCGCTGGGATTGGGATGGCAGGGAGGAGCTGGCGCTGGCAGGCGAGGGGAGATTGGATCATTGGGGAGTGTGCGCGAGATTGGTGAGGTGGGGGACTGGGCAGACCGCAGACACTCAAGGAGAGAGAGAGAGAGAGAGAGGGCGGGAGGGCGGGCGGGCGGGACACGTGCGCCCGGGGTGGCAACGGTAGGGAGGTCAGGGAGAAGCAAGGGAGGAAGAAGAGTGTGGATGGATGGAGTAGCGAGCGTGACAGTTGTGTGAGGGAGTGGGTGGGCTCGCAGTCGCAGCCATGTTTCCTCTATCTCGCGTCGCGTGGTGTCTTGGGGTTTGGACGGACCCGGACGCCCCAGCCAGCAGGCCTCTCTCTGCCGGCGGGTCATGCCAGGCATGCTCTCCAACGTCTACGTGGAGGAGCCGCGGCCGTGGCAGCGCGGACAGAGAGGCAGGCCAGCTAGTGCGGCGCCGACTGCCGTGTCGTTCTGCCGCGGTGCCCATCCCAATTCCCAGCCGCCGGCCTGCCCACTCATCAAACCAAACGGTAAGCAGAGACGCCGGTGGTGGCTTCCGTTGGCACGTCACGTCGCCGGGATCTTGGCCGTCCCGTTGGCTGCAATCTGCGCTGTGCTGTGCTGGTGTCAGGGTCAGCTGTGCGCGACGCAGCGTTGAATCTTCCTCCGTGTCCGGCGGCGGCGGCGGCCATGGCAGGCCAGCCAGCTGAGGTGGCGTCAGATCGACGGCCAGCTGAGGTCCCTTGATCCCCTGGCTCTGAATCCCAAACGCACTCTACTAGTTCGCTCATCTCAATACGTCGATAAAAAATCTAATTCTTGATTATAAATTCGCTGCAGTTGCACTCGAATACAAACGCATTGATTCCTAACCCAATATAACAAGGCCCAGCTTGTCTACTGGTCCCTGAAGCTTGCTACTGGAGCGGAGCTACTGAATTCATTTCTAGTACTAGAGTACTGCACTTGTGTAGGAGTACCTTACCTACACCCACCTGCGATAACATTTGATTTGAAAATTTGATGGGCCGATTTACATTCAGGGATATTATACAACACACATATATTTTAAAGAAAAAAATATATATATATTTTTTTTACCCATCTCTCCCTCTCTCTCTTTCCAACTGTCTTCTCATCACCCAGATCACATAAAGCAAAAGGTAATCGAACTGGCAAAAGTCGCAGCGTCTACGTGTAGTAAGACCGGACTGGCCCGACACGCACGTACCGGCGAGGTCAGCAGATGAGCCGCGACACGTACGTACAAAAGGACCCGATTTGTTATTTTGTTCTTGCATAGAAAAAATTGTTTCGTGTGATCTGTGAATCTATGATCTTGTAATTTATGATTGTCTGGAAGTAGAAGAAGGCGGGAGGTAGAAGGGGATGGAGGCTGTTAGATCTTAATTTTATGGTGTAAAAAAATTCATATGTTAAAACTACATAAAATACATGGTTATTAGGTAGATAGACTCACATTTACATTTACCGGAAGATGTTGTTTGTAGTTGTAGCAGAGCTGGAGAACTATCAAAGAGATGACGATGAAAGCTGTGGCGCTGCACGCGGGTAAATAAAATAAAACAAGGGTGAAGATTTTACCACCACCGCGTGCCTGATTCCCCCAGTCTCCCACACGGTCCGACATGCATCCGCCTGCCTTGGGCCGGCCTACTGTCACTGTTAACATAATTTAACAATTAACCGTGCTGAGATTGGTGAACTACTCAGAGCGTCTCAAGCAAATCCTCTTTCTCTAAAAATATTTCTCTGAGAAACCACACTCTCTAAATCCCTCTAATAAAAGGAAGAGCAAATCAATCCCATTTTTCTTTCTCTGCCCTACATATGGTGGTGTGATGGTCGGAGATAGGGGCGGGCAGTCTCTGGTGCTATCGCCAAAGAGTGTGGTGTGCCATCCAGGGTAGCCCCAAGGGGTTTGCCACATAGGCTTTGCGCGCAAGCACCTTGGTCTTCTTCGTCCACGGTTGAGGAGATGCGAGATAGATAGAGGAAGAGGAAAGAGAGAAAAGGTATAGAAAAAATTATTAGGCCACTGACACGTTGATCCCATATATTTATGGATGAAAAGGAGTAACAAGTTTTTCTCAGTCTAATGGCGTACACCTCCCTATTCCCTTTAGGCTCCCTTTCGAATGAAGGAAAAACGTAGAAACCTTGAAGGTTTTGATTCTTATATATAGGAAAAATTCATGTGTCCCTTTGTAACAAAAGAATGTCCCCTGACAATTTCTTTGAATTTCCTATGGATTAAGTTTTTTTTCTTTCCCGCATTGTATTTCCTGCATTGCGTGCAAAGTTATTCAGCCTGTTCGCTTGCTCGTAAACGATCGTAAATTTTCAGCCGGGAACAGTGTTTTTCTCTCACACCAAACCAGCCAACAGTAAATAATCCACGATACGATACGGCCTCCCGAACAAGCTGAATTTCTCTAAGGGCCTATTTGGAACAAAGGAATGCAAAATAGAGAAAAAAAAAATGTAGGAACAGGGTATAGGTGTTATGGGAAAACAGAGAAATGAAAAAAACACATGAAAATATGTGTCGGGGACCAATACCAGGGTACCCGAAGAGGAGGAGCTAATAACCATCAACGTTAATTCATCCGAGCGGTTAAGGGCGCGACTACAGCTCTTGCCGACCCCCAGGTATGTAAGCTCTGCCTCGCCTGCCTGGGCCTCGAGGGGCGGTTTCGCCTCTCCTGACCCCGAATTTGGGTCCCGGCCCCCTCTCCGAGGGCACACCACGGTCACACCACATCCGCGGGCTCACTCTCGCCGACCCTTGGGTCCGGTCTCCTCGCCGCCCGACCCCTCGGGTCCAAGTCCGCCTCGCCGACTCTTGGGTCCGCGCCCGCCTCGCCCGAGCTCGAGGGCCGGGTTCCACCTCGCCTCGACCTCCGAGGGTGGCCGCCTCTCGGCCTGACCTCCGAGGGGTGGCTCCACCGCCGCCGACCCTTGGGCCCGGCTCCACCTCGCCCAACCCTCGGGTCCAAGCTCCGCCTCGCCCGACCTTGGGTCCGCGCTCTGCCACACCCGACCCTTGGGTCCAAGCTCCGCCTCGTCCGACCCTTGGGTCTGCGCTCCGCCTCGCCCGACCCTTGGGTCCGCGCTCCGCCTCGCTCGACCTTCGAGGGCTGGTTTCACCTCGCCCGACCCTTGGGTCCGTGCTCCAACTCTCCCGACCCATGGGTTTGGGCTCCACCTCGCCCGAGCCTTGGGATTGCGCTCTGCCTCGCCTGACCCCAAGGCCAGAGCCTCCGTCTCACCCGACGAAGACCCATATAGCCGCCAACCACTCCAGGTCCAAGCGTATGGGTCTGGGTCAAAGCTCTGACGCCAGGGAAGTGACCGACACGCCCCGATATAACCCGTGGCCTTGACGGGCCATACCTGGGTACCCACATCAGGAACAGTGTCGGGCGTACCGGTATTGTTCTGTCTAACCCTCGTCTCGAATTTAACACCGACATGTTAGTTCACCATGGCGTCCCGCCCGAGAAGAGTGGGCGCCACGCCGACGGGAGACACGCGCGACATGGCGCCCGTGATGCATGTGGCCACGACGTGGAGCCGTGTCCTTGTTGACTATTAACGCGTCTGAGGTTGGCGGGATCCACGTGAAGGAAAAGAAGGACCCATCGATCCTGGAGGACTTCTTCTCCTTCTCATTCCCCTCTTTTCCCTTCGCTGTAACCCCTGCTTTTCCTTGTCCTATAAAAGGGAAAGCAGAGTGTCCCATTAAGGGGACCGATCCCGCATCGAACCAAGCATCGAACTCGACTCGACTCAAACCGATTAGAACACTCAAGCACACAGCAGTGAAGTGACCGAGCCCTCGGCGCCCGTTCGCTCCTCTCACCAGAGACTTGGAACCTATCCCTCTCTTAACCATTTATAACCCCTACTACGAACTTTCAGTGCTAGTAACACGAGCAGCAGCAGCGAACTGGACGTAGGGACATTCTGCCCGAACTAGTATAAACCTCGTGTCCTCTTAGCACACCATCCGAGACAGATGGGCAATATTAGAAATTTACTTGTTGGTGGCAACTCGAAACACCCACAATATGAATTGAGGTGTTTGAAACGTAGGAATTGAGAACTATAGAATCAAATAAATTATAGAAATAATAAAACCAGCTTTAGCACTTATTCAGTGCAAGCTGCGGAGCAGCAGAGATTGGACAGTGACGTGCACAAGGTAGCCAATGTCTAAACAACATGCTTGTCTCGTACTTTGTGAAGGAAGAGAAAACCTGAGCTCAGACTCGATTTTAAATGAGAAAGACTACAACAGTGTTCCATAGGAAAGGAACCAGAGAATCCTTTGATCCAAACGCTATGCTCGGAAAACTTTCCTCCATTTTTGTTTCCTCTACTTTTCCTATGAAAATACTACATTCCAAATAGGTCCTAAGCTTTTCTTTGTTCTAAAATCCTGTAGGATTTGAAGTGTTTATGACATTTTATTCTTATTTTTTCATATTCATGTGTTTTATAAACCTTTTGTTCTAATTTAAAGAGAGGCTTAATCTTATTTTCTCAATCTCTTATTATATCACCATTTTATAAAAAGAGAATCCTCAATCTAGTGAGGATGCTCTAATTATCCTTGCCAAGGTATTCGGTGGAGCTATACTAGTGTTATCACTATTGGTATAGTATAGCAACTATTAAAGAGTTGACGCGTTCAGTTGTGGCAATGCATGCTTTGCTTTTTTGTTTTGGTTTCACCAACGTCGAGGCAGATGCTCTGCGCTACTCCTAATCATCCCAAGATCTATTTTTTTCTAATCTAATCTAAAGCGTCCGCAAGGAACACGTGGCTGCTTGGTATTGGTAGCACTACGTACTAGTGCTTCTGTATCATGCATGCATA